TAAGTCCGTGTCGGGGGGGTGGGGTTCTGGGTGTGCGCCGGTGGGGGAGGGTAGGCGTCGGGGTCGACGCAGTTTGAAGTTTGATTCGAGGCTCGTATAAAGGGGGCTTATTTGAACAACAAGAGGAGGACTGCACTATACCTCGTGTGCCCGTTAATATCCGATTTAGTGCGTTATCGGTTGTTTCCGCCGTTTGTGTGCGTGGAAGTATAATAGTGCTCACAGTCTAGAAGGTCTCCATGGAGACGTCCGAGTGGCGTAGTAATGTTGGAGACTGTGACACGAAACCAACTTACAATCTTACCTACCCTCCCGCATACTTCACTTCCTAAACACAAAGGCAGATGATTTCTGACCAATGCTATTTCTTTTTATCGACAAGACCAGTAGCAACTGTTCTGGTGTCGGTCAGAAGACGGAAATTACAACAGATCATATGCACCGGAAACAACTCGGAACAAAGGTACCGATAACGTTCCATTGTACTTATTACCTTCGGCACGAAAATTTTTAGCAAACCGCCCTACAAGTATGAGTTCCAAGGTAACATTAGGTATGACTTGTTTAGTCGTCTATGAAAGTATCTTCAGGTTTTTATGAACCGCACCATTACTAACTGGTAGACGAGCAGGTACCTTTCTGGTCTACTATCAGACACGTTTTCGTTTTGTTTTCTTAAATAAAAGAGTCGGCGGAGTCCATAGAAACGCCGTGCATCTGGTTCAAGGATTACAAGAGAAATGCAGGAAATACAGATAGTTGACGAAATTTACTTTGACGAGGTTGTGACCTGTTAGATGTTACGTTTCTACAACCATGTTGGACAGTCGTCAGAAATTACTAGTCGTATCGGTATTAGTTGACATACCTCCGACAGGTTGAGCAAGTTAGGTTGATACAAGTTTAGTCACTTATACTTGACAGATGGGAGATGTAGCCTCTATGTCCCAGGAAGGAAAATGTGATTCCAGTCTGACGTCGAGAGGAAACGTTCTGGTCTAGTTCAGGAGGTCATTTATGTCTGCGATGTAGGTCCAGTTACGTGGAGTTCCAGAAACTCGTACAAGAGCAGTTCAGGCCGAACAAAACAAGAAAAGAACAATAGCCAAAATAATAGGAGGAAACATTACCAACGTTTACTGGGACGAACACTTTTGCTTCAGTTTTAAGGGTTGGGGAAACAAAGGATGGTAATTTCCATATAGGCTAGCAAAATAGCGTCTGTTTTTCATCCCAAATCTCAGAAACCTCTTACTTTGTCTTTTATTTCATCTTCTCCGTTGGCCTCATTTCCAGGGGGTCAAGGTTTAGTTTGGTTTAGTCTTCTGTTTGTTATAGTCAGTAGGTACCGGGTTAAGATGACTTAGTATTAGGGGTACAAACTCAGATTGAACTATTAAAAAAATGTAACACCGTTTTTGTTGGGGGTGGCTAACCCCTAAAGAGATGCTTAGAGAGCTGTCAACAGCATAATTTGGTACCATAAGCTCATCTTTAACCGGAAATGGAAAGAAAATATAAGTTCTTCTTCTTTTTCCACTACACCGAAAACTATAGCATGATGGCTGATCCCTGAAAAGGCTCTAACACGTGTCAATCAGGGGGGGGGGGGCAATTATTGTTGAAGGGTCTGTATGGCTAGGACAAAGTGAGGCTGAAACTCAATAAGGAGATTTGTGTATGATTCATTCCGAACATAACATTCTTTAAGGATTTTTTGAATGCAGAGCTTTTACTTATAATGGTATATTTTTCCAATGCTGTATTATCACTTTTACATATCTAACAACAGTGTTACCTCCATGACAGAGAAAGATGTGGATTCAACTTTGTATTTGTAGCATGTGGTTTCGGTTTTACAGAGAGGTGTTTGTGTTATAAAGCCTATGATTTATTGTAGGACTGTTGCGGTAGACTATATTATTTGTATCGCAGGCAGTTTAAATATATACTGTTCTGTCCAGCAGACTGATGGAGTCACCTCTCTCCATTTTGGTCCAGGTGACTATTTTTTTCTCGGACATCGTGGGCTTCACCTCCATCTCTGCGTCCTGCGCTCCTTTGCAGGTGGTGGAGATGCTCAACAACCTCTACATGTGCTTTGACACGCGCATCGACTCCTACAACGTCTACAAGGTACAATGAAATGTTGTTGGCCTTATGATGCTTTTATTGGGTTTTCCCATTCCTGTAGTGTGATGTACAGGTTTTTAGGGTTAGGGTTAGAAAGAGGAAAATCCCTGTTTAAAAAAAAAACCCTGTGTATCTGTGGACTTGTGCAACTGATATCTGACATTTGTCTCCACTCAGACAGCAATACAAACCCATCCTACCACTTACCGGACCAACTTGCTGTGCTGCTTATGTTCTTTGCTTTAAATGTTTAAACTGGAAGCACATGAAAGCTAGTATAAACATCATAACGTACAGGTGGAGACCATTGGGGATGCGTACATGGTGGTGAGCGGTCTGCCGGAGAGGAACGGGGACAGACACGCTGATGAGATTGCAAAGATGGCGCTGGACCTGGTGGCCGCCGTCAGGCAGGTCTCCATCCCTCACATGCCCAACGAGAGGCTGCAGCTGAGAGCCGGCATCCACACAGGTAAGGGAGCTCTGAGGAGAACTGTCAGAACCACAGGGTCATTTCTGATCCGCCTTTTCGGGAGGGCACCAGGTCCCTTAGGCATTATAATGACAAGGTTTCCATCAGTTAGGGTTGAGCGTCCTGCACAGAGCAGCCTGTCCTTCTACAAAAAACAACCATATAGGCCGATTGTTCATGCCCTTATTACGACCCAGAGACACGTTTTAAAGTGTATGTTGTTTCTTACACGACCACTAGAGGTGCTCTAGTGGTCGTGTAAGAAACAACATGCTCCCGGCCCGTTCATTGCAAATGCTTTACAAACCCCGTGATTAGTCATCAAGCCCTGTGATTGGATGTTGGAGTGGCAGTGCGACAAGGTTACGCTGAGCGTCACAGCTCTATGAAATGGAATGGAACCACGGCAGACTTTCCAAAACTGGAATTGGACGGCTCCAGCCCCCCCCCCCCACCCCCCACTACACATGCAGGCTATTGTGTGTTTCGCTGGCTATTGTGTGTTTCGCAACATGTTCTATGGCACGTCTCTTTATAAGACGTTTTCGTATTTCCCACAATTAGAAGTTGCCAGTATTAAACTGCGTACACCCTGGAGGTTTAGGGGATACGAAACACAGTGGTGTTATCAAAATTAAAACATATAATTAATAAATGGGTGAATTAATATACCCACATGAGGTCAGAAGAGCTTTATTTAACAGCTGGTCTTATGTCTGTGACCCCTCCTGTTGTTCATTGATAAGCCTGAAACATGCACTTGTCAAGGTTCAGAGGCAAATTGAGCAAATATGGCAGTAGGCCATCAATCATCTTAAGATAAGATAAGATATACTTTATTGATCCCTAGTTGGGAAATGTTTTTGTTACAGCAGCATACTACTTTGTCATTCTACTCCACCACAATTCAGAGGTTAACCTGGTATTTTTACTCCACTACATTTATTTTAGTTACTTTGTAGATTCTGATTAATGATGTGAAATATAAACAACCCTTAAATCAGACTTTAGTTACACCTGAGTCAAATTCAGGGAAGGTGATTGTCAAGTGCCAAAATAAACTATGCAATATATTGGATGTTAAGTACTTTGTCAGACTTCATATTTATCTGTGGATAACCCCAACGTTTTTTTCTTATTCAAAAGAGGACCTTAACTTAAAGTAATCTTTAGTGTTTGAATAAAGCCTAGTTGGTCTGTTTTTCACATCCTCCTGTTAATATCTTTGGAGGTCCTGCACTAAACTGTTTTATTGTAGAGATCGCTACAGTATCTTCTTGATATTTTCAATTTTGTATGTAGGCTACTCTTAATATTTAAAT